ACACCGAGATATTTACAAAATAGGAGTTTTCTTAACATTTCACGCTGGTCCTAAAAAGACGATCAAATATTAAAAATAGGATAATTCTGTGGTCATTCATAAAAATCAAAGATTTTAATAATGGCGTTTATAACATGTGTAATCGTAAGTGTAATCGGCATCATCCTTAAAACATTTTGCATGATGCTGGAAAGAATACGGCAGAACGTACCACATTTTAGTCACGATTGGCAAAACGCACCAGCGTTTAGTATCAACCAATGAAAGCAGGGAAAATCACATTATGGACTATATAATGGTACATTTTGCTTAAATGCGAGCTGGCACCCGGAGTAGGACTTCATTTTTTTAGCCGAATTTGACAAAATCTAAAAACTTTTGATAAAATATGACAAAAAAATGTATATAAAAAGGTATATTTCGGTAAGTAATATGCTGATAATCAGTGCTTTTTTAACAATAATTTTTTTTAAATTTTAAAAATTTTATTCCATAATTTTTAGTGTTCCGATAGTCCACCTTTTATTTCTCTAATAAATTCAAAAATGCTCCCTGTCTATGAGAGTTACACACCTTTTCTTCAGGTTAATATCTGGTTTTATCTCATAATAAAGAAAGAATATACCTTAAAAATTTAGGACACAAACATAATAAATTTCGGCCATTAAATGCAAGGAAAGGTTGGTCTTGTCAGCTGGTGATAAAATTAAATCAAGGTTTATGGCCTAGACGTTATTAAATAGACTAGGTGTAAAAATAAAATCCACTAAACTTTTCACCAACACCTACGTTTGCAATAAAGTCACCTTCTCAAAGTTTAAAAATGTTTCTTTAAATAATTAAACAATAAAAATTAATGAAAATTTTAGATTATCACTCCGTTTAAATACCGGCAGGTATTAGAATTCAAATAATAACGATATTACGCAAAAAATTGAAGTAAGGGATTCTCTTTAGGAATGTGCACATATTTTAGTTTTCTTTGCAAAACTGTTAATTTGTTTTTGGTCAGAATTAATTTTTAAATTAATTATTTAGTTTTAGCATTAGTTTCAATCAATTTTTATAGTACAAGTTTTATTATGGCCATTTGCACTATGTTTATATAATATAGTAGTGACAGAACACGGGGATAAGCAAATGAAATACCATGAATGAAAACGGCGTCAGCCATAGCTATGAAATGAAGATTGCTGTCATTTTATATGTAAAATTATATGGGAAATGTTATTGATTGTCATTTACAAGCCAACTGGATGCTGTTTTTTTTATTATACGGTATATGAAACTAACTGATATTTTTTATTAAAACTCTATTATTGAAATAAGATTTTGTTTTTAACTTTCAATAGCAGGTAAATGAGTATGGAAAAAAAATGTTTTGTAAAGAATTATTGTTTTTATAACAGAAACTTTGTCACACTGAGTTTCTTAAGGTTTTTTATATATAAACTACTTGACTTTTTAATTTGAACTATGTATTCGTGATTTGTACAAATAATGTTGTTTCTCCAAAAAAAAATTAACATAAATTTTTGTGATAAGTTAATTTGAAATTTGTATTTTGTTATAGACACTACACTGATGAAGGCTGTAATGTTGGCCGAAACGTATGTTTTTTTCCTTTAAAAATGAAATAAGGATATGAAAAACCAAATGAAAACTTAATCAGAGTTTTCCTGAACCTAAATCCCAAGAAAATTAAAAAAAATCAGAATTTTTAGAAACAAGGTTCAGGAATAATACATTTTCCAAGAATATATAAATATTATACATTAAATTTAAGTTATTTGTTAGTTAAATAAAGTTTAATAAACTATATAAATTTTACATTATCTGTATATGTAGTCCGAGATACATAAATGCCTAATATGTTTAAGATTCAAGTATCTTCAACATAATTCTATATTTTACGATAGTCACTTCTTTCCTTTCCGATCTATGATTTATATTTATCTCTATATATAAAAAAAGAAAGTAGCTGTTGACAGTGAGTTATTAAATGCATTTGGAAAATGAAAAATTATAAGAGAAAAATATACTTTTTTATCAATTTTAAAATTTTTCTCTGCATTCGTCTTGGAATTTCATAGAATTAACTAATTGATATTAAAGGTTTTTGTTAGTTGTTTGGCAATTAACATCAACGATGTTAACAAATTTTAAGTCTCTCTTCATTATCGTTTCATAAGATCAGTCAATAAACTCGTACATAATAATAAATTTTATAAAAATATTAATTTAATTTCGTCCCAATCAAATAGCAATACTAAAGTAATTTTAGTTTGATTTTATCATTCAATCCACTCTTCAAAATAAACACACTTAAAATTAAACTTACGTATGATGTTTAGAAATTGGATTTTCTATGTTTATACAGTATATGTCATTTAACTATATATCGACAACTTTTGCTACACAAATATTACATTAATCTATGTTAAAATCCATGTAGACTAGAAGCATATTAATTTAAAATACACGGTGGTCCGAACTGTATTCCGGAAACTTCGGCAGAATATTCTGAAGATAAAAATAAAAAGTTAACAAATGTATGTTCTAAAATGCTTAGTTTCGGAGATACAAGATACAGGGTGTAGAAGTTTCATTTTTATTTCGATTCTTTCGAACCTTAAACCTAACCCTTTCGATTCTTAAACCTAAACGGACACTGCTTGTCAGACGTTATGTTTACAGTTATACAAATTTGCCTAACAGAGAAAAAAAATGCTTAACTTTCAGTCGTCGAAAGCGAAAAAAAATACAAAGAATAAAGAAAAAAAAGTATTTAAAATATTTAAATTTAAACTATTATGAGAACACTTTAGTTTTTTTAAAGCAGATACGTCTACAAGAAACCGTTGACGATCTTGTAGAGAAAGAGATAGACTTTCCGAAACGTTCAACATTTTTTTCCTTGTTGGGCAAATTTGTAATGTTTACAGTTATACATAACTTCTGACAAGATTTGTAATGTTTACTGTGATACATAACTTCTGACAAGCAGTGTCCGTTTAGGTTTAACGCGGAAGTGTTTACAAAAAATAACTATTTTATTTTGTAGATTTTCTTGCAGTGCAGTGGCGAAATACCCATAAAGGATGAAATGTTTTTGTGTCAAAATTTCAACAGAAACGATTTTATCATAATTTTTTATTATCATTAATTTTTACCAACAAAAAAACATATAAAAAAGTAGAACATATTTTACTAATCATAATCTGAAAACCGCATTTTCATATCTGCTTTGGTTCGAAAGTTATGAATTTATTCCTTTTACTAATGCAATAAAAGATTTACTGCTTCACTGCAGCAACAGTGAAATATCGTTAAAAATGGCTAAACGGGCAAGAACGGGCAAGTGATCTTGACATTATGTCGAAGAGCGATTTATAAAGTTTTATTTAAAATGAGAATTAAATAGTACTTTGAATTACTCTGTATTTCTACCTCTGTCAATTGGCAAGATTATTAAAAAATAAGTAATTATATATCAGTCCAAAAAGGCGAGCGTGTAAACTAAGCAAACATTATAATAATTAACATCTATAATGATCTGAAGCTAACTTACCTCTATTATATTCAAGTTTGATTTCGGAAAGGGCCAATATCGACTCTGAAATTCAGCATAGGATCAGCAGCGTCTCAAGAGCATTCTGGAAATTAAAAGACAGGGTTTTCTACAATCATGACTTGAGCACAAAAACGAAATTTGGAGTGTACCGAACAATAATAATTCCCACCATGTTATATGGAAGCGAAACGTGGGTGCCGTACCGCCGACACATGAACGCATTAAACAAGTTGCAACAGAGACATCTTAGACAACTCTTAAGAATCCGGTGGTTCCATCATATCTCAAACGTATCGGTCCTTGAAAAAGCTAACTGAGAGAATATCAAAGTCATGATTACAAAGTCCCGCTTAAGATGGGCTGGTCACGTATGCAGAATGCAAGAAATCCGCACACCAAAATCTCTACTTTACGGTGAGTTTCTGGACGGTAAGAGGAGGCCGGGTGGACAACTCAAAAGGTATAAGGATATTTTCTACGAAAACTTAAAGGGGATTAACAAGCAGAATGAGTGGGAAGAAGCAGCTCGCAATAGAACGGAATGGAGAAGAGTTGTAAATTCAGTTAACAGCGACAACCAAAAAGTAAGGAGGCAACAGAGCAATGAGATTTTTGAATGTCCAGAGTGCGGTAGACAGATAACATCACGTATCGGGCTTTTCAGTCACAGAAAAGCTCATGAAAGGAAACGCCTTGCGTGGCCATCTTCTGATGCGTGTCAAATACTCGTCAGTGAGTAATGGCAGTATGTATGTATATATGTATGTATGTATGTATGTATGTATGTATGTATGTATTATATTCAACAATCACAATATGTTTTATTTTAAAAATAACTTCACTCAAAAATTAGTGTCAAGTTTGTTTCGCCTGTACATGCAAAATAGACGCTCTCATGGGTACAAAATGTTGCTGACACTTTCAATTGTTTATGGTATGCTCAAAGCCTACTACGAAATTATTTTGAGATGTATCGAGCAGGATATAGTTTTTTAACTTTAATTCAGAGGTTTTGTCTCGCCGTATCATCCGCGTTCGCCTACTGTGTGGCACCCTCTACAAGTAGGAGTCATATTGACATCAAATATAAATAAAAAAAAATAAAAATAAAAAAAAAATAAAAAAATAAAATATAAATAATAAAAAAAATATAAATTAATATAAATTTCTCGTCTTAAAAAACTCCCAGATTCAAATTTTCATCAAAATATGGACATTGCTTTAGAAATTATTTGGAAAAAATCAAAATTAAAATGAAATTTCTACAGCTTGTATCTCCAAACCTAAGCATTTTAGGACATACATTTATACTATACTAACTTTTTTACTTATTTTTATCTGCAGAATATGCTGCCGAAGTTTCCGGAACACAGTTGGGACTACCATGTATATGAATAAATTTGTCAATATCATTATTTTCTTACAGGATCCCCGTTTCAACAACGAGATCGATCTCAGGACCGGTTACAAAACCGATCTGATCCTCTGCATGCCGATCTGCAACTACGAAGGCGACGTGATCGGCGTTGCTCAGATCATCAATAAAACCGACGATTCTCAGGAGTTCTCCTCTCAGGACGTGGAGGTTTTTCAACGATATCTGACATTTTGTGGGATCGGTATCCAGAACGCGCAGCTGTTCGAAGTGTCCGTCCTCGAATACAAAAGAAACCAGGTGAGTTTCACGATAATTTAGTTTTATTACATTTAAAAATAAACTGAGCAGTGAGTGAATTTTTTGATACCCAACTGATGCACCAAAAATCACTCATTAATTAAACAAGATAAACTTATATTCAGGGTCGTCCATTAGTGCGAGGAAGTCCAATATCGTGTCTCAAAAAAAAGTTATGGTAATGTTTTAAGTTTTTTTAAACTACACGTTCTGATTTGGATTCAGCATAAAACTCTTAAGTCTTGACTCTTAACTTTAAACTTTGCAATTTTTACTCCCAGCACTATGCGTTGTAGCCATTCTGTTTCAAATTTTCAATTCAATTCAAACGAGTTATTTTACTTTAAAAATTAAAAAAAAAAAAAATTTGCTGAAATTTTGGGAAACACTGAATTTTTTCGGTAATCTCTTTCTTGCAAATTTAATCTACTAACTATGTTGCTATATTATAAAGAAATTATGTTTTTTACTAAAAATTAAAAAAAAATCAAAAAAATTCCAAATTTTTGTTCTTTTTTTTTTCGCGAAAAAACCTCATAATAGTGTTTCTGGAGTCGAAAAATACTACCGCTAAATATATTTGCACTTATTTAAGACTCACCCTGTATATAAAATGCTATATCTGAAATTATGTTGCTTGTGGACCTCACTTTAGCTGCAATTTATTTCTTACTGGGTATTTTGCCACTGAAGAAATCTAAAAAATATCAAAGAGTATATATATATATTCAGTAACTCACTCAACAGAAAATACAGTATTAACATGTTATAAAATATATACTGAACTAAGGAATTGCAATCGTTAATTAATTAAAAACTTACTCATTTTAATTTAACATCTAATAAGTGTATATAATCAAAAGATCCTATCAACAGTCTTAACGTCTTTATTTACGAACAAGTAACAACTCGATCATTTGAGGAAACATTTCTATCTAATTGATACTGCTGCACGAGCGCTATGCAACGAGCCGCATTTCGATGATTGCATACGTCGGCCGCATTATTTAATTAACTTGAAATGGTGTTCGGACATCAAAGTTTGTGTAATAGTGGTTTTGGGCTAAGTAAATTCATCTAAAATTTAATGATCTAATATATAATCTGATAAATGCTCTTTATCGTTTTTTTTGGGCTACCCTATAGAAGTTCAATATTTTCCTGAAATGCATTCTTGTGCATACTCTAGGTTTACTACATAAAACACATATATTACACATTTTATACAGGTTTACTGTATAAAACGAAATAGTCTAAGAGCTGACCACATAAAAAAAACTTATCATCGTTACATGGCTATTTTTTTGTGTGAAGTATCCTATTGTGTAGCCATTATGAAATAGTCATGTCTGCCAGCGCCATCCCGGGGCTTAAAGCGGGGGCGGCTAATCGAAAGGGTGAAATTTGGACACTAAAGATATTATAAGGTACACGAATTATAATTGCGAAAATAGCTTTTATTTATTATTATTTATTATTAAGAAGCGTGGAAAATTGTTGACATTTTTCTGGTCGCTAAAATGCCGACAGACAACGCAAAAGGGGCATGAAATTTAAAAGTTATCTCGAAAATTATTAAAAAATTAAATTTGAAGAATGAAAAAAAAATATGGCATACATGCATGCCGATTGGTGGAATGTCATATCTATTTATTTTAAAAGCGGTATGCAAAAGGGCAGACAAAAATATCGTGGCTAAATCAGCTGCAAACAGTTATCAAAAGCGCGATATTACTCTAGCGCTTACAGGGAACGCTCGCCGCCTCATCCATTTCAGTATAGATAAATCATGTATACGATTATATTATAAATATATTTTTTTATTAATTCAAAACAGATATCATACATTTACTATTCTGTCTCACTATTTGTATCTGACTCATTGTACTGCACATCCCCGCTCTCACAAACGAGTCTTCCTCTGAGTCGATATCTGCACCGTAAAATTTTTATAGACTTATAGGTATACTACTACTACTGTGTATGTTTCAATTGATAATGCGGCCAGCGTTTCCTGAGAACGCTTATACACGGTGAGTCTTAAATAAGTGAAAATACTTTTAATGGTGATATATTTCGACCCCAGGAACACGTCTATGAGTTTTTTTTCGCAAAAAATGATGTAGAAAATCGTGCATTATTTTTAAATTTTCCTGTATATTTTAGAAAACTTTTAGAACTGCCTGTTCACCGCACATTTACCAACGGTATAATTATTTCTTGACCTATCATACTTACGGCTTTACTCTATGATTACGACACTAAAATAATGGATTCAGGTACAGAAAAAAAAAACAGGTGTTTCACAAAATTATTTAAAAATAAATCAATTTCTTTTTAAATTTTCAAACTTGAATAACTCGGATATTTTGGACTTATTTGTAAACGGTAAAAAGAAAATATGTATCTTTTATCGAGATCTACCAGCTCTGAAATTGCACTTATTCAAGATTCACCCTGTAGAGTAATATTGCGTTTTTTATAACTGTCTACCGCTGATTGAGCCACGATTTTTTGTTTGTCCTTTTGCATACGGCATTTTAAATAAATAAACATGACAATCCACCAATCGACATGCATGTATGGGATGATTTTTTTGTCAAATTCCATGCCTCTTTCGGGTTGTCTGCCGGCATTTTAGCCACGAGAAAAAATGTCTGTCAACAGTTTTACACGTTTCTTAATAATAAATAAAAGGTATTTTCGCAATTATAACACGCATACCTTAAAATATTTTTAGTGTCTAAATTTCACCCTTTCGATTAGGCGCGCCCCCGCTTTAAGTTTCGGAATCGCGCTAGCAGACATGACCATTTCATAATGGCTACACAAAAGGATACTTCACACAAAAAGTGAGCCATGTAACGACGATAAGGTTTTTATGTAGCCAGCTCTCCGTCTAAAACCACAATATTTGTTGATAGTTATCAAGCATCCTAGCAATTGAACTAACCGCTATAATGGTTGAAAATAATTATTCAGTGAACCGTCAGACGTCACTTTACTAGCACGCTTGAACTCGGTAAAAAATAGTGACGGTGTATCATAAACCGCAAAGTTATGATAAATTTTATGGCTTTTAGTATTTTTGTTTTCAAATAATAAAACTCTACCCATTTTTTTAGTATTAATTCTATTTTTAGTATTATTTTTAACTGTTTTAGTGTTTAATTTTAACCGTAATTAGTATAAAATATTTTTGTAAATCAAAAATACGAAAATGGAATAAAAAAATGGAACCTGTCATGTTTTAATCTTTGGTATGTTGATTTTTAATTTAAAAGGTAACACAGTTAATACAAACAAACAAAAGTTTATTTAAAATTAGGTTACATTAAATATCACTCCTTCCGTAAGTATCAGAGTTTTTAAATTACTTCATTAATCTCAACCAATTTAAATTACGCAGATTTATTAAAATTTCGAGATGAAAGTTAATTAATCCAATAGAAAATAATTTGAAATTTTCTCCAAACTTCTAATGTACTATACAGCGCTATATTTATACCTCCACTTTGCGTAATTACAGCATAAATTGTTACTTTAACTTTAGATAACTTTACTTTATATTAAGTACTGCAATTAGTCAAGTATTTAATATAATTTCAAAAGAGCATTGACAAGTTTATATGAAAAAGTTTCTCATTTACATGTGTATAAAAATAACTATCGGGAAAACTTGAATAATTAAAATATTCATAAACAAAATAAAAAACGTTACCTATTGAAAGTTCAAAAAATAATTTTCAATAAATATATATGTTACAGTGAAAGTCGGAGATTCAGTGATTGTTAACATTCACTAGGAAATGCTAACAATTACGCATTGGACCAGTGAATGCGGTATTTTAAAGAGATTTGTCGACTTTTCCTAATAATTTCTAACATTCACTATAGTGAAAATAACATTTACTAAAGGTTGCCAGTAAAAGTTATTCTATTGCACAGGATGAGTGTGGCGAGGAAGAATGTTGGTGGAAGTTAGAACAAATAAAACGTTTAAGAATATTGGATCACCTCAACATTCAAGGTGATTCACATATCTTAAGATTACAATTTACTTCTTTAGTATATTTATTAAAAATTATAGAAAATAGCGACATAACATTCTAAATATTAAAAGGGAAAACATAGTAAACATTTTAAAGCGTACAAAACAATTAAAAAAAACATTCATAAACATAAGATTAGTTATAGGTACAAGGTTTTTTTTTAATAAAGTTCTTCATCGTGGACAAAATAAAGTATCCCAAAATTTTCTTCCACGGGAGTTATTCGTTTTTTCAAACTCGTTACTTCCAGCATATGAAACGTTTAATAAGTTCATAGTCACTAGGTTCTTTAATATATTTTTCTCTTGCACGCCTAACTGTTGCTATGACTTCATTATATTGCAAAAATGAAAAACAAGCACTATTACATTCTTGCAAATACAGATTACAGAGTACCTAGTTTACTTTAATTTTTGACAGAATTTCGAGGAAAATTTCTTCCATAGGGAAAATCCGCCAGCACTTTTTACAACGATAATAAAATAATTATACATAGAACATAATCATAACAACAAAAACATAGCGAATTTACGCGTATGTCTGTCGAGGTTGCCAACGTTGAGTCCAATTTAATGTTATCCTTATATTGCCTATTATTCAACTTTTCCATATTTAGTTTTATACTTCACAACATGTGGCAACCGCGATAACTAAATCTTTCAAACTAACTGTTATCGTCCAGGGAATGTTAGCATTCAAAAGTTGGTTTCATAAATAGCTGTTGAACTTTTACTGGCGTAGTCTTAGAAAATCAGTGAATGTTAGCGTTTTACTAGTAACTGTTAACAATCACTGACTTCCAACTTTTACTGTAACATATACATGATGAAAATATCCCCTTCCACGTGTTTTAGCAATGTGCACAGTTTCTCGGTTTATTTCATACGTTTGGCAATGTTTTTACCCTTCTCTCTTTGTTCAGTACATTATAAAGGCATTGACAATAAA